TAGGATGGTGGCGTTGGCGTAAGGGTTTTAGCGAACTCGGGGACACGGAAGCTGTGGGGGGGGGGGGTGTAAAAGGTCACTAATTTAAATTGAGTGTGGACTGTGGGCGTACAACAAGTGGTTGAGTGAAGATATATAATGTTGGTAATGAAGTAACCAGACACAGATGACGGTCAGATTACATGAATTATCTAGGCGTGGAGGCGGAATAGTTACAATAATGCAGAAGGGGCGCAACAATGTTGGAGACTTGAGTTTTGTGGCCATATGAGCTTAAACACAAAATGCGCTCAATTTTGCTGCTGATGGCAGTGTTTCATGCTGTCGTCAAAACCAATGGCCAAGTTACTAAGGAGCAATGAAGCCTTTTCGTAGATTCGCGCAGGCTAAGTATCATTTTCGCCATAATGACCATTACATATCGTTTCCATTCAATACCACGGCATCGGGCATCTGCCGTATAGGTGTGTCAAAAATTTTATTTTCCCTAGGCTATCCCTACCCCTAGCCTACATCCAACATTCAGCAAATCAACGAAAACTCGCACACTCAAACAGCTTTACGCCCTTGTCCGACGACGGGCCAGATCTGCCCTCAGGGGCCGGCACGCGGCGAGCCGACGCAACCAAACAAGCACCACGTGGCCTTCCCCCACGCCGTCACTACGCTGGGGAGGGGAGGGGCGGGGAGGGGAGGGAGGGGTCAAGGGCACCCCGCCGGCCCCACGCGTGGTAGGAGCGTCCCGTCCCGTCTCCCCGCATGCTCATTGATCGCCACAGGGCGAAGAGGGCAGACGGAGGGAGGGATGGACGGACGGACGCAAGGACGGACGGATGGACGGGCGGACGCGGCTTGTCGAATCTGACGTGTGGGGCGTATGTGGTCTTCAGGGCAATACAGCTTGGTTGGTTAATGGTTTGTGCTTACTCTTCGCTCGTAGGTAGGTATACATATTATAAGTTAATTGATTTGATAACGTGGCATTATCTAGTCCACATACTCGTACACACTACACATTCCAAGCGTCCGCCGCAGGTGAAGACGCGCCCACGTGCTCGCCAAGGTGTGCCTCTGTGCCGGGTTGGGCCCCGTCCGCCAGCATTCCTTCCCGCCTGGCCGGCTGGGAGCGCCCCCCCCCCCTCCGTCCCCGTCCCCCACATCCGGTTCCGACGCCGCTGGGAAGGGAGGGGGAGGGAGGGGTGCAGGGCCGGCTGGCCGCCAGGTCGATTGATTATTGCTCCCCGTCGGTTGGGGAGTGTACCGGAAACGATGGCCGGCGGCGGACCGGTCCCAGGGGGAGGTTACAGAGGAGAGACGAGTTGTACGATGAAGCCGTATTCGAGGTCTGAGAGTGGCCAGCCAAACGAGTGGTGATTTGATTTGGTGAATGGATAAAACAATGCGAGTGTGAAGTTCTGCGTGGGGCCAACGTAGTCGTTAGTGCTTAGTCAAGTGTAAAATTAACATTCAGACTGGTTTGTTTATGAACATTGTTAGCTGAAAATGATGCGTTATTATGTTTCCAATAGAATGTTAGTCGATATGAGAAGATATAGGGCTATGAATACCTAAGGGTTTACCGTTAATATGGCTTTACCTGTCTGGGTTATTGTGTCAGTCGCGGATCAACTACTTTCTGAACAAGTTGCCTGTCTGCCTACCGTCTTTTCTGTCCCGCTGTGTGCATTGAGTCACTGACTGTCTACCAACAAACTACAGATGTTGTCAGTAGTAACGGCCGACGGCCACCCCTCCTACATCCCTGCCTGTGGCGGCAGCTGGGGACCGTCCACCCCTCCTCCCCTCTCTCCCCTCCCCATTTCCTCCCGCAGGAATCCTCACCTGCCGCCGTATCCGGGAATGGCCGCACTGGCCGCTCCCCAGCGCGGTGCTGGGTCCTGCTGGAAATTCAGTAGCTGCTGATCTGATCGGCTATCTGGGTGTGGAGGTGGCGGTTGAACTTTAATTAGGACGGTATGAGGACTAATTAACAGTAATTAAGTTTTGGTTGATCAAGTCATTAATGTTTCAAGTCAACATTGTAAACAAAAGTACAAAAGTGAAACAACTTAGAGAAGAGAGATCGGTTCGGATCTAAGGAGGCTTTGAATTTAGGTCAGAGCTGGGTAAAGGGAAGTATGTTTAGCTGGCGGCAATGATTTTATTCGAGTGATTGTGATGGCTGTAATAAATCATTTGATCTTCTTTTTTATCTTATCTGGATTCTGGAGTTTCGGCTAGGTGGCGGCTGCGGCCTGCGGGCTGTGATTGTGACTTCACCTTTGGTGTTTTGCTCAAAGCATGAGTGCGAGATAGGCAGGCATATTCATTGTGTGGTGAGTGACATCGATCTGAATGGTGAAATATATGTGTCGGAAGTTTAGGAGTCCGGCAGAAAAAAGGTTCCGGCTTCTTCCATTAGAAAAACCTGGTGGATTGTTAGGTGGAGGGTGCGGGAATTTGCAATGGAATACAATCGAAACGGAAGGGGTCATGCATGTATACGCGAGCATTGTATCGTGAAATTGCAATGCAGAGGAGTCTGGACGCATACATCAGTTGTCAAAGTGTGAAATTCCATGGCATTCCCGCGAGTGGAACTGTTCAAACGTGAAATAAAGGCTGTCCAGCCCGAGTTGAATTGATGACGAGGTGCATGGCTAGAAGAGCTGGTGAAGTGATGTACGGTAGATTTCGAGATGGCAACCCACATATCAACTTTTTATGCATTTCAACGGAACGACGCAGGCGAGACTGAACGATATTATTCGTGACACAGAATGCCGACGCACGTCATGACAGAAAATCACGTCGACGAGTCGAGTGCTTGCTTGAACAAGTTCACATACATACTGTGTGTAAACACTGAACAGTGAACGTTGTGATAAGGCTGACCACTCATAGCTCAGGTTAAGCTCAGTTGAGAAGTTCTAATCAATTAAAGATAACTTACTGCGTTGGTAAGCCAGTTGGTAGCTCATTGCAAAAAAAAAACAAGTGAGCTTAAAATGCATTGAAAAAGGCCTAAGAAGAAGACTGAAATTTATTTTGTCCTCCCCCCCTCTCAGAAAAACATCACTCCAGGCAAATGTCTGGCTTCATTCTTGCACTGTGGGGCAGCCCATCCTACCGGATACCACTCCTGTTATATAACCAGCCCCTCCCCCAGTAGCCCGGACACCCATTGGGCGGCTCTGCACTGCGGTCAAAGGGAACAGGCTGGGCGCTGGCCCTGCGTCGCGCCCCGTCCCCCCTCCCCCCCCCCCCCGGTTGCCAGACGCGGAAGAGGTGCCACGTGACGACCAACCGGGAGGGGTAGAGGGGGAGGGGTCCAAGGTCAGGCGTTGGGTCGTCTGGCGCAGGATAGTGGGATGATGGGTGAGCCAAAGGCGGGTGGTGGGTAGAGGTTATAATGCACTTGCTTCTCTCATGACGGAGACAAAGTATTATTGAGGAGGCTTCAGGTGCGTTGAGACATTTCTTCTGTTTAATCACCGGGCATGGGTCACTTGTTTAACCACCGTGGCAGGAATTCGACTTGCTAGTCCAAAGTCCAGGGATGAAGCAAATTTCTGGGATTTGTCATTGATGTTAGATGAAATACAACCGTAGAATTCGACAGAGAAGCGCGCGCGCACAGTCGTAGGCGGACATTCCGAGTACATTCTCGTAAACACAGACGACGAGTGACTTTTGAAGCGAGCCAGACCGGGTCGGGCGTCGTTTCTGGTTACTAGGGTGGTTCAAGCCGAGTGTAGTACGATTTGGTGCTTAAATGTCGCAGGCCGGGTGCGCTGGTAGGCATAATTTGAAACATGACCACAGGAATGATGCGCTCCAACAACCCCAAATTCCAAAATTGGTTCCTAATGAACAAAGTGGTTCCGAGCTTAGTGGTTAAAAACCAGTGTAACAGTTTTGTCTATACGCACTACGATGATTTTCTGAAAAATAAATGCCTCTGTGGTGAAAATCACTGCTGGCTGGGTCAGCTGCTTTTTCACTTTCATTGAGCATTCAGCGTTTGACGCATTTGCAGTCGGATCACGCGTGATTGTAGTCATAAATTCGGGTAATGCGATCATCGTTATTCCCTATCCAATACTCCGATATCGCTCCAAGGATCACATTTCGCCTGGGACGCAACCTCGTGCGGTCTTGCTCCTCCCTCACTCTTTCGCGCCGAGCAGGAGTCACTGACCGGGCGATCGGCCAAACCTCTCCTCTCCTCCCCCGCCCCGTGACCTGACCGGACGGCGGCCGCGTTCAACCCACGGCCTCCTTCGCAAATGTCGGCCAACACCGGTCGTCGCTTCCCACCGGCTGCCGCGCGGGCGGCGCACGAGCCCCGTCCGCGCGCGGTCGCCCCCGCGCCAGCTGCGCGCCCGAGCCCCAGCCGGCCGGGCGCGACAAAGCGCCGGCGATGACGTCACGGCAGCCTGTCTCTGGGTGCCGACCGCTGCCGATTTGAATCGGGGACTGGGGTCGTATCCGAGGGGGGGGGGGGGTAACCGACGGAAACGCAGCACGCGTGCGGGCGTGAACAGCCTCCACTGCGCGGCCTTGAAAGAGAAGGGACCGATTTGCAATGCGTAGAGCGTTGGCGAATCGTCATCGCTGTCGATATGAATGGTCTACGGTATTGAATGCTTTCCAGCCAGGAGTGAGTCGATAACAGATAAGATTGCATATCTACACGTAAATGCCCAGTTTACGAATATTTGAAATGCTTATTCAGTAACTTTGACAACGGATATTAATTACAACCGTTCTCTACGAGTTCATACCAGAGTCCTTTTGACATTATTTTAGGCAGCCGCCCTGAAAATTACCCCATTTTTCGAAGTGCACGGAAAGTGTCCGCAGTGTCTTTGTCATTTATGCCTTTTAAACACCAAACTGGTATAGTGTGTGGTCCCGTAAGCCCTTCATATCCGCTGTTCGGTTTATCTCTTCCTTCCTTTCGGATTCTGCTCCGTTCGGCAAAAAAAAGGTTCATATCCATGGGTTCGATAATATATTTGCGCATATGTACAAAATATATACAAAATAGTATTCATAGCGTTGACATTTGACACAAAACTCCGGCTAAGACTCATGAATCACAACTCGCCGCGCAGTTCGCGCGGACAATCTTTCCATCATGAAGTGGAGGCGGCAGTGTTGGAAGGCTCGCTGGTCTGGAACCGGTCTTTGGGCTCCTTCACCGCTCCCTGGAACCGGTCCGGGCCGCCCGGACCACGCCGAACAGGGCCCTGCACAGGACCGAATACTACATTGCACAGACGCGACTGGCCGCGAACGGGTCCTTCCCGGGGCCGGCCGGCCGCCCGTTCGGTGGAGAACCGGTCCGACGCCTCGGCAGCAGACGGAAAAACCGCTCCTGGGCAGACCCCTGCCGGCCGCCGCGGACGCGGGCGGAAAATTCCAGACTGCCGTCAGCGTGGCCTCGGGGCATCAGGAGGACGCTCACGGTAGAGAAGACATGACGCGGCCGCCCGGGCAGCGGCCGCACGCATATTCCACACATTTCAGGTACTGAAAATCACAGCAGAAAGCGGCGCCCGGGGCCGCTGTGTCTTGGTTTGGAGACGGATGAGTTCACGCCGATACCGAGACGGGATCTGACGCCGCCAGCTCCCAGTCTCCAGTCCGCTGAGGCGCGCACGAATCGGACGCTTGCTGCCGCAACTTCAGGCTGTCGAAGCTGAACACGGAGACGAGGCTGGTGATGCGGTCGATTTCCATCGCGTCCGCCTCGGAGTCGTCTGAGTCACCACTCTCGTAGCACGAGTCATCGTCAGACGAGTCAGCGTCTTTGTCGCCTTTGGACTCCCCTGACGCGGACACTTCCGACGCGGGGAGGGCTGACTCGCACGCCGAGCACGGAACATCCACCTCCTCTGACTCCGCCTCCTCAGACTCGGTCCGCGCGCGCTTGGGCAGGATCGACGCCACCGCCTCCTCGGTCTCCTCGTCGGAGATGAGTCGTTTCCGACGCGACGGCTCGGCGGCGTCGGCGGTGGCTGCGTCGCCGACGCCGCGCTCGGCCGGGCTACACGTGTCCAGGTCGGTGTAGGTCGGCGTAGGTTCAGCCGGCACCGGAGTGACGGTCACGGCCGGCGGAGGCGGCTGCGGCCGGCAGTGCATCATGAACGCCTGCTCCACGTACAGGTGGCGAGCCTTCTGCAAGATGGACGCCACCATTAGCGACTTGTGCAGGCTGCATCCCGTGCGCTGCACGCGGCTCTGCGCGATCTTGCCCAGAGAAACACTGATCACACGCTGGGCCTCCATGGCTAGGCTAATAGTAACGCTGCTGCTAGGAACTGGAGTCAGCTTGAAATTGCTCGGCACCCCCACGATCAGAAGTCTCACGAAATACGGCAGCAGCGCGCGCGCGGCGTCTCTTATATAAACTCGGCCACTGACGTCACGGCCCGTCCGGCGCCGGCCAATCAGCGCCGCGCGTGGCGTACTATGTCCCGACCGAAGCGCCTCTGGCGGCGACGATCTGAACCAGGCGATGACAACATCGCGGAAAACCGGAGGGAACCGGGTGGCACGGGCGCGCGTGGCGGTCACGCTCGTTTTCTCTCCGGGGGGGGGGGGGGGGGGGAGGGCACCTGTCACAGCACGCCCTACGCAGTCTGGAAACTTACTCAAACTCCACCAGACTTCCTCTCGTATTCATCGATTCACGCTGTCTGGAACTTTCGCGCCAATTCAGTATCGACCTTGGTCACGTGTTCTCACCGTGTAAGGCGATGCTCCGCCCGTAGAGTAGTCACGTGACTAGGAAAAGTCCCGGCATGTTAAAGGGAGGGGGGGGGGGGGGTCTCTCACCGCCAGATTGTTCCAGAGGCGTTGATGTGCACCGCAGAGCGTCATTGACCGCAACGTAAACCGGTCAGATCCAGACTCCGGATGACACTGTCATCGAATGAATCGCTGATCAACCGCCACTCTTTGGCTCTGAAACTGCTCTTCTTATCATCAGCATCACTGCTATTGGGCGGAATGATCAAACATGTGACATTTGTCGCCGATTATTTACATCATGCATCTATAGAGCGCATTGACGGAAATTTCTGAATGGAACATTAAATATAGATCTAGTAATTTTGAATGAGAAGTAAAAACATCGCGTGGCCCGGGTCCCTGACGTTCAGGGGAGCCTCTCGTCTAGACTGGGGAGGGCGGGGGGCAGCAGTATTGACCAGCGGCGTATTTAGAAAATCGCGAAGGGGGGGGGCCAAGGGTTTGGAGGGCGCCACCTCACCCAAGGAGGGCGCCATACGGTCGCGAGATAAAAAATCGCTCAGTGGGGGTTGGGGGGTTGGGAGGCGTTTTTTACCATGCCACCAGTTTTTTTTTGCGTAACCTCGTATAGGTCGTGCTGCATTGATTTTGCATCGTGTGTATTCTTTATACTCCAGGTCACAAAAGGTCAAGTGTTCTTGAAATGCTGCGCCGAAGGCGCGCGAAATTTTTGAAAACAACCTTTTCCTCCGCTTTTTAGGCACGCCTTTTATACGATCACTGTTCAAAGCTCCTCTCGCTCTTTTACCAAATTTGAAGGTGTAAAAAATACCTAAGGTTTGGTCGGGCCGCTGCCACACAAACTGTACAGAAAGCTTGGCTCATGGGTGTCGATGTATAAAAGTTTATTGGCGGTGGCATATCTACGCACCAGATCACCGTATCGGATTGATACCGGAGCGCGAGATGCGTAAACATCATCCAAATTACCTCAGACCAGCTTTCATAGCCTTCTCACAGATGCATACAGTGTACCCACATAACCAGTTTCAATCACCGAAACTTCAGATGCCTGCTGTTGCGCCCGAACCTGTTGACAATACTTAATCGTAATCCATATAGATGCCATGATGCACGTAAAGTAGGATCAATCCGTTAAGACCAAAGACGTGTTTTATGCATCGTAGAGCGTAGATAGTTTTGGTAGGTATAGATACTTCATTCATTGTGCTGAATGCACGTTCATTTGTGGCAGTTTTCCCAGGCAAGACATCAACTATGTGCAATAGAACGACTAAGTTGAAAAACATGCCAAAGGAGTAAATAAATGATAGGAGGGCAGCGATCAACGGATGTTGCCAATAGGTAGAAGGGCTGCGATCCACAGGAGGGCACTAATAGGTAGAAGAGCCCCGATCAACATCCCGAGTTTCGACAGTAGGGCACCGATAGGTAGGAAGTTGGCGAGCAGCAGGAGGGCGCCAATGGATAGAAGGGCAGCGATCAACAGGAGGGCACCAATAGGTAGGAGGGCGCCGATCAACAATCAACAGGAGGGCGCCACCAGGTAAGAGGGTGGCGAGGAACAGGAGAGCACCAATAGGAGGGTGGCGATCAACAAGAGGTCGCCAATAGGTGGGAGGGCGGTCATCAACTGGAAGTCGCCAATGAGCGGAAGGGTGACGATTAAAATGGGGGTGGCAATGGTGAGGAGGGCGCCTTTGCTCAAGAGGATGACACGAACAGGAGGGCGTCTGTGCGGAGGGCGCTGGTCAACAGGAAGGTGCCAGTGGATAGGAGGGCGGTGATCAACAGGAGGGTGCCAGTGTTAGGGCCAAGTAAAGCTGCATATACCACGACACTGTGTATTGTGCTTCCAGCGACCGACGACCAAGCACGGACACGGCGACCCGCCGACTGACCCAGTCCGGTCACGGTCGCGTCCTTATATAATTACGGCACAGAGCGCATGCGCGGTGACCGCGCGGCGGTCAGGCGGCTCGCCGGCCGGCCGGCCGAGCCGCCGGCCCGGCCCGCGCCTCGGCCCCGCACGACCGGTCCGCAGTCACAATATCCCAACACCAGTGGTTAGGAGGGCGGCGATCTACACGAGGGCGCCAATAGGAGAAGGGCCCCGATTAACATTCAACAGGAAGGACTAGGGAACCAATAGGTAGGAGGGCGGCACTGAACAAGAGGGTGCCAAAAGGGAGAAAGGCGGCCTTCAAAATTTCACATGAGGGCTCAATAGGTAGGAGAGCGCCAATAATTATGAGGACGCCGATCAGCAGAAGGGCGGCAATGTGTAGCAGGGTGGCGACCTACAGGAGGGCGCCTTCGGGTGAGAGGGCGCTTATTTACAGGACAGCGGCTTACATAGGCGACCACCGTTACGCTTAGAGAGCTACAGCCTACAAATGTGGTTGGAGGGCGCCCGAGGGAGCCCTCCAACCGTATTTGGAGGGCGTATTTGGAATGGGCGTCCTCCGAGGGCGCCCTCCATCCGTATTTTCCCTGTAAACACATTCGCGATTGGAGGGCGCCCTCCAGTCGCGATTGTTTTTCGATTCGATTATATCACAATTGCATTTGCGATTGGAGGGCGCCTTCGGCGCCCTCCAATCGCAAAGGGCGCCTTCGGCGCCCAAGGGGGGGGCCATGGCCCAGTGGCCCCCCCCCTGCCTACGCCCCTGGTATTGACACAGATGCTGGCAGCCACAGCACTGTCGTCTGCCCTAGGGTAACTGACAAATAATTACAGTTTTCTGTTGGTTGGCATAGTGTAATCGTGCCGTATGCAATTTATTGCTCATGGTTGTCGTTTAATATAGTTTAATATAATACCTAAGTCTGGTAAACCCTGAGTATCACCAATATTTTCGGCATCAAAAATAGGCCTTATGAGTGGCATTGCATGGTAAGAACGACTTCGATATCCAGGAAGTATTCATTAGAGCCCTATCAAAATGTTCAGAAAGTGACGCCGCATCACTAATTGTAACTGACTTGTAAGTTGTGGCCCGCCGTACAAAGAATCTTGTTGTCGGTATTTTAGTTGTCTTGGGCCAGTGGTCCGTGGTCGTCACAAGATATGTACAGGTCTCGCGAGATTAAGCGGTAGGTTTTGCACTTTTACATTTCCGGTTATATCTCAGAAACTAATCGATCTACGATGAAGCCATTTTACACGATCATGGCCGGCTTGTTACCCAACAAGTCGATTGCATCTTCAACACTTAAAAGCTTAAGACGACGAAGATATAGCCTGAAGTACACTAAATTTTCTAGGTGCAAAACCTACCGCTAAAACCCGCGAGACCTGTACCTAACTGACATCTATCTGTCATTGGTCAGCCGCTCCTAGGGGCTGGAACTCAATGCTTCTGACTTCTGAAATTGCTCCAGGACCCCTTGAGCATCACACTCACGTCAAAAGCACACATTGAGACTTGAAATTCAATAGTTCACATGAAATAGCGATTCTAATTGAACAGTACTTACATAAATCTACCTCAGCTCAGCGTAATTTCTAGAGGCTCATTTACCACATGCATATGAATTTTTACATAGGCATACATTCTCTATGCATTATGCTTTCTTGATAAGTGCCGGCAAAGCACCCGCCCGACGCCCCTGTCCTCTCAGTCTCGCCTCAGGAATCTGGAACCCGCATCAGTGATTATCCGAAGGTTGGGACTTTTCAATTAAGACAAATCACTATTCTTTAGAATTGTGATTTTCTATTGAAAATCCCAACCTGAGCTACCTCTCTAGGGGGGTGATTAGCGTTTCTGCCGCGATTTAGGACATTTTGATAGGGAAGAAAACGGCACGGTAGAATTTCTTGCCATTTTCAGCGTTTGGTCCCGTATCGGGGAGCTACCGGCTGGCATCGGTCGCTTGAAATATAATTAACCCGTTTTGGGGTAATCGGCACGTGCATTTTCCCATAGGGTTAACATGGGGAAAAATTGGAAATTCGATTTGCGAAAAATTTCGTCAATTATATTTGCTGATATTTTTAGGGTCGGATCTAGGGCTGGCACCTCAACTTTTGGGGTTAATTATTTAAAAATCATAGGATACAATTTCGGGTAATCGTGACGGACAGTTACCCCATGCTGAGCCTATGGCGATTTCGAAAAATTATTTTCAAATCGATTTTGCCAAAAATTTCCACGTTAGATTTTGAAAATGTTCCAATATGTTGTGCCCCGGGGTGTCGGCTACCACATGGTATGGGTCAGATATGGGGCGATTGAAAAGCACGTGCCACGTGCAAACGTGTTTGATGGGGTAACCTCCGGGAAAATCCGACATTGGCCAACTTGGGGTCCTATGGCGTGGAAACCACTCCACTTAGCGACACCAAATCGACGCAGCCGGTGAGCAGATGAGTCCAGCTTGTCGCACTAGTGGTCACGTGGCGCACGTGCTATTGCACGTGCCGTGGCACGGGGTCAATTTTGGTGCTTAAATATACTAGCATTGTGAAATGCAAGGAATGGGGGAAATAGCCGCCAGGCCGTCAGATTTTATGATAGGGTCGATCTGAAAACGGGTGTAGGCACAGAATGAAGGGGGCTAAAAAACTGCTATCTCGGATTTTTTGTAAAATGAAAAATTCAAAATTCTGGGGAAATTATATATTCGAAAGGTGAAATTTCCCTAAATTTTCCCGTTTTCCGACTTTAGCCGTCCACTGTTCAGGGACGGTGACACCGGCCGGGGTCATCTTTTATATGGTGATAGCCACGTCAATGGGTCATCACGTGGCGTGAACGGTGAAGCTATCAAAGGTCTGGCACGTGCCACGTGGCCACGTGTTTGAGTCACGTACATCGCAGATTATCGTGTGTTTGCCGACTTGTGGCCTTATAGCACGAAAACAGCACAAGCCAGGAACACTGAAATGGTGCAATCAGTGAGGG